GCCGGTAAATAGGACTAGATGGCGCCTCCAACATATTTTCCAACCAAATATCAAGATCATTGCCATCATCATTGTCGGACTCACCAGGGTTGATGACCACTTCCATATCAATGCGGTAATTCGCATACTGCCTCGCATAACTGAAAGATGAAAGAAATACGAAAAAAACTTACTATGCACTAATTCCGCGAATAATATGCGACGTTGGTATGTCGCAGTTGTGTCGAAGAATAATTTTTCGACTTATAGTCGCAGTTCATTCGCCTAAACAAAAATAATTATTTAATGGGCGACGGACCGCGATTGACCGAATCGTACATCGAATCTCCGAATATTCATCGTAGAACAATCGCATAATTTAACTCATAATTTTCTCGCCCATGCTCATACCTGTCGCCTATTTAGCGCATGTTTCATCGCATATGTCTTCGTACTTTTTGGGGTGAAAAACTTAGTTTTTTATTGGGTGGTGTGAAAAACTTAGTGTGACTTCAGAACGGGGTGAAAATAGCTATTTCCTCAAATTATCTCAAAAAGTTTCAATCATTTTTAACTCAACTACTTTTTTTAACTCAACTTTAACTCAACCCCACTATCATCAATATTTTACTATAATTAAATATTATCAACCAATCATTTATACACATCACATCAACCTTAATTCACGATTCATCAACTCACATAATTTTAACTAACCATCACTTCAACTTTTCTCTCTTACTTTTTACATCAAATCAACTTTAATTATTTTATTTTAAATATTATTTTAATATACCCACTAACAACTAACCATACCACCTTTTTCAAAATTAACCAAACCAACCAAAAAAATCTAAACAAATCCAAAAAATTTTATATCCAAGCATCCTCTTATAACACTTAGCCTTTTCAAAATTCAAAACTATCAGCTCAATTTTTCCCCTTGAATCCGTAATGTGCCTTAATGTGCTTTTAAATATGGTATTAATTAAATATCTTTTGTTTTTCCCAAAAATTTGTCTTGAAAAGCAGCAGCAAGTCACAGCAATACATCTCATTCTTCCCAAAAATCACCTCTCATTATCAGATCAAAATTTTGGCCAGCAAGAAAACCATCAGAAAAAAACTCCTCAAAATCTGAGAATCCAAAATTTTCAGCAGACGCATTTAAATCCATAGCAGACCAAAAGAATTCTGATGCAATTCAATCAGACGAACACGACAAAATCAACCCCTCCGCTTGGTCACCGATTCAGTCGTTCATCGAGCCTTCATCGATCATTGCTCGACCTCGGGTCATCATTTGGAGATGCAGCGCGTCACAAGATCTAGACGCTGCACCCAGCCTTCGGCCACCACAGCAACCACGACGTAACACCACGCTTAGCCGCGAACCATAGCCGCTGCCATCCTCCCACCGCGCGCAGCCACCAAGAACGTCGTTGACGCCACGCATCAGCGGCCGAGACCCACCGTGAACAAGAGACGTTCAACCGAGGCAAGTTGAGACCCGTCCACGTAGAAACGAGCAGCCATCGGCTGCCCCGTCAGTACCCCTGGCCGCCGGCCATTACAAATCAGGTTAACGAGCCATCGATAACTCGAGTCGCTGCCCCTCGGAGCCGATGACACCTCCACTATCAGAGCCCGACGGGCCCCGTCAGACACTGTTGTCTCGAGCCGAGTTATCGGTGATGTTTGCTCACCTCCGATTTCCTCACCCTCATCTGTCCGAGCCAGACCACCATCGTCAACCGCTATTGTGAGACGCGGGAACAGCACCTGGCCGGAATTCGCTAGCATCAGCAGTCAGGGGGCCTCCGTCCACCCCATCGAAAGCCTAGGACCTGTTAGAAAAAGTTAAAATAAAGGCACTTGCCCACATGCATCCCACTGGCAAAGATGCACTTCCCACATGCAACCCCAATTGATCATCAAATTGTATTAAAAAAAAAAAAGCAGCTTGAATTGCAATTTGGCCAGCTGATGCTTTCGTCTACCTATAAATAGGCATTCAGCCAGTAGAGGAAATGTACCAAAAATCTGAAAGAAAGAGAGAAGAAAGAAAGAGAAAGGAAAGAAAGAAAAATATATGTCCAAGTATCGGATATAAAAATATCAAAAGAGAAGAAACAAGTGATATTTTTATTTGTTTCACAATATTCTTTTTATTTCTAAGTGTTCAATTCTCGATTCCGTTCCCGTTCGCTGGAGCTCGTAAATCTGGTGTGCTACAGATTTAAAGACGTTTGTCGTTGTGTCTTTGGGGAAGTTACGTCTGAACCGTTAGATGCCACACGGGGCGTATTCTTCTTGCGGAAAGAGTTTTACTCGCCTCGGCTAAAATATTTCCGTTTTTCAATTGTAATTTATTTTTCAGTTCAATTGTATTTTTCATTTTTAGATTATTTGTAAGAACTGAAAGTACATATCAGTTCGTAGGATTCCCGTGTAATTTTACACCAAATATCCAACAATCACAAGAAGAATATCAGTCATCCTACTGAACTGATGGCATCCACCAGAGCAGGTTCCAGCTCTCAGCATCCGATCAATCATGTACCTGCTGTCCATGTTCCTACAGCTGAAAAGCCTGAATAATTTAACGGGCTTGACTTTAAGAGATGGCAATAGAAGATGCATTTTTACCAGACCACTTTGGGTTTGGTGAAATACCTGAAGGACGACCCTCCGGTCATTTTGGAGAATGAGATCAATGCAGAACTACGCGTTGCGTACGATGCTTGGGGTCAAGGTGACTACCTTTGCCGTAACTATGTCCTGAACGGTCTTAGTAACGAGTTGTACAATGTGTACAGCTCTGTTGGTTCTACCAAGGAACTTTCGGCTGCCTTGGAGAAGAAGTACAAGACGGAGGATGTCGGGGCGAAGAAATTCGTCGTCGGCAAATTTCTTAACTTCAAGATGGTTGACACGAAGACTGTCGTGTCACAAGTGCAAGAGTTTCAGCTGATCTTGCACGATATCCATGCAGAAGGGATGACTTTGAGCGAGTCATTTCAAGTAGCGGCTGTGATTGAGAAGTTGCCGCCAGGCTGGAAGGACTTTAAGAACTATCTCAAACACAAGAGAAAGGAGATGAGTCTTGAAGACCTGGTTGTTCGTCTTTGTATTGAGGAAAAAAACCGTAAATCTTCAGGCAAAAGCCCGATAATGGAGGCTCGTGCGAACTTGTTGGAGCAAGGCAGTTCGATCAAAATGAAGCCCCTTAACAAAGGGAAGCAGCCCGCCAAGGTTTCGAAATTTACTGGAACTTGTTACAATTGTGGAAAGCCAAACCATATGGCGAAAGACTGCAAGAGGCCAAAGAAGGCTGGGCCAAATAAAGGGCAACCGAGTGCCCTTGTTGCTGAACACGGCCCTGTGCTGGGTGAATTGACCGACTTTGATATGTCGGTTGTGGTGTTTGAAGCCAATTTGGTTGATAACCCAAGAGAGTGGTACATCGATACTGGTGCCACTCGTCATGTGTGTTCTGACAAGGAGGTGTTCTCTGAATACACTCCTGCTGCTGGTCGGAAACTACACATGGGAAACTCCTCCACGTCTGATGTGGCTGGAATGGGCACTGTGGTGCTAAAGCTCACTTCTGGAAAGGAGTTGAAGCTGAAGGATGTTCTGCATGTCCCAGACATCCGCACGAATTTGGTCTCTGGATCACTTCTTGTAGAGCATGGATTTAGGCTGGTGTTTGAAGCTAAGAAGTTTATTCTTAGCAAGTATGGAATATTCTTTGGCCGTGGTTATCTTGACAAGACCGCCGGCCGCTAGAGTTCGAGCCTAAGCCTTGAGGAGGTACTGAGCTTCATCCCTCCAGGAGTTCTGTTTTTCAGGTTTCGGGTCCTTGGGTGCGGCTAGCAGTCCATTTGATCCCTCTTTCGAGCTCTCCGGCGTGGCAAGATGGTGTTCTCGCGGTGGATTCCTCTCCATTCCCCAGCGTGGATGGTTTCCCGGCCTTTCAGATCTAAATCGAGAGCAGAATCTTCCCCAGATCCGTCTAGGTGGTACGAGTGGCCGTAGTTTTCGGGCTTGAGGTTCTGGTTTGTGGCTTCGTTAGATCTCTTTGCTAGTGGACGTGGATCGTTTGAGGTATCGAGTGCCTTGGAGTTTTAGTCTATTATGTGTAGGGAAGGTCCTAGTTTATTTGTTTATTAGGTGTATGTTTTTTCTTTATGTATTTCGTTTTGTTAGTCCAGCTTGTCTGGTTTATCACCTTTATGAATTTTTCTTCCCCTTTGTGGGATTTTGCTTTGGGTTTGCGGTTGCCTCCTTATTGGAGTTGTACCTCTTGGAGTCCTCTGGAATTTCAAGAGAGTAGGTCGAGTTATCTGGTTCCTGGTGTCAGTTGTCGTTTCCTCTGTACTCATTCTGAGTTTTCTAGTTATATATTTGTTTGTCGTTGAAAGAAAAAAAAAAAAAAAAAAGCTAGTGGTTTGTTCACCCCTATAATCCTCCTTTCAGGTTGAAATTGGCGGCCACTGTGATGACGAGAAGAGGATGGTCTAATTATTTCTAAAGTGTTAACTTTTCCAAATTGTTTATTTCTCGCTTTCACTTGATGTTTTCGAAAATTGATGCCCTATTTTGTTTTGAGACCATGGAATTGGAAATGTTCATTTTGTAAAATATTCCATTTTTATTCCACTTGATGATTTTGAAACTAGAGTGACGATTGTTTTGAGGTATTGATGAATGGTTATATTGAGTTGATTTTTAACTCGTGCTTTAGTATGGTGACGGGTGAAACAATGAAATCCCGTGAATTGAACTTGAATGGTGTTTAGATAAAAGGATACTTAGTAATGACCATTTTTTTTTTTTTGGTACAGGGACCTTTCGGTTTCCGGACCATTTAATGTATTCAAAATACCTAAGAGCGCTTGGATGAGATGGCTTTGGTCTCTTCCAGCTTAACCAGTGGTCTCGAGTTCGAGCCCTGGAAATGCAACAGTGTTAAAACTCTTGAGGGAGAGCTTTGCCGCCCTTGTGGTCCTACCCGGCTCGATTCCGGATTAGTCGGTTCCCCTGTGGATCCAGAAATCGGAAGGTCCCTGTACCAAAAAAAATGTATTTAAAACGAAAATTTGCTCTTTGACATAATAATAATTTATTTCTATTTTTCAAAAATTTGATTCTCCCTTTTTTAAAACTTGGAAAATTCTTTTAAAAATAGCGGAACCCACTGGTGTGATAAAATACCCATAATTCTTTTAATGAAGGTATAATTTTGACATTTCTTTTTTCAGCCATTGAAATGTTTAATCTGATAGTTAAGATTTATTTTTATTTTTTTCATTGAGAACTTTTTTCACCGAAGCGTACCATTTTATATGTATACTAGTACGATACCATGTACTACATGTGTGCATGAAAAAAAAAAAAA